GTAACTAGATGCTTAACTGTCTGCACTTCCTTTGAGGGCCCGGACCTGGTGGGGGCAGTGGTGGGGGAGGGTTCTGCTCCTTGCAGAGCACAGCTCACCGTGGGAAGAAACGGAGGCTATTTTCACATGGCTGATGGTGACACTTTTTATTAATTTAATAATGTGCCCTTCTCCCTAGTGCATGGGGCATGTGCACATTCTCCTACAAAGACGTGGAGGTGCGGAGGTACTATGGAGGTCAGGTGACTACGGGGTGGCTCGAGGGGGAACCGACGAGCTTCCGGACAATCAGTGGTTTGTAAACAGCAGCATCATTAGCTCTCAGACAACACTGGACCTCGTGGGGCCTTTTCTGTGGGTGGCACTAATTATTCCAGATTCAGACCAGGCTGTCCTCTCCCTCCTCTGTCCCCACAGCTAGACATGAACACTGTAACCCTTGGGCCCCTCAGAGGAAAAAATGGGTGGGGGGGGGCGATGGGAGGCACTGTTGGGCTGCCGTCCCACCACTGGGAGCCTGCTGGTTCCCATTAACTGCCTTTCTGGAAAGCGATTCTGTTCTGTGATGGAGGCGGCAGAATGAAACGTGAAATTACACCGCACGAGATCCAAACTTGTTCTCATCCCCAGGGCGAGTTTAAGAAGTTTAATTTGAGGCTACTGCTTTTAAAAACAAGAGGTAGGTTGTGCCATTGAAAAAAAAATGATGGTTGAAACTATGGAAGCGGCAAGTTCAGATACCCTAAACCTTGAAGCAAGCACAGTACTGGTGGGATCTTCTCCCTTGGCTCCCCTCGGGCTCTAAGCTGCTCTTTCACCCAACACTTCCCACGGCAAGGCTCTGCCCCGGCTCTGTCTTCTCACCTCCTCAAAGTAGTCTGCTTTCTACCCACAAGTGTCGGGAAATGCCGCATTCCCCAATGGCTGTAAGGAGGAATCCACGGGCATGCCACAATTTCAGTATTCAGTGGAGGTTTTCCCAGGCAAATTCCACTCGCAGAGGACAGGGAAGACTGCATGTCCTGATATGACGCAGACGACATGGATGGGGAGAGGCCTCCATTACCATGATGGTGAGGCTGGCCCCGGGAGGACCTCGCTGTGTGGCTGCAAAGCCCTGCAGACCTGAGTTCCGTCCTGCCAAGGGCTGGAGGCTGGTGACCCTTCTGACACCCATCCCCAGATCCCTGATGTGGGAAGGGGAAGGGCCCTCCCCAGAACCAGAAGCCCCAGGCCTCCATCTCAGGCTCACTGGAGCATTTTGCAGGCTACGGGGGACATGGCGTTTGCTCCTACCTGGTTTTCCACTTAAATTCTGCCAAGAGGTGGGTGGGGCCTACGAGCAGCCTGGCCGCCTTTCTAAAAGACACAACTTGCAACTCCACCCTTGAAAAGTGACATGTGCTGGGCATGAACTCACTCGCAGTGCTTTGTAGTGTTCAGAGAAGACTGGGGCCACCCGCATGCCTGTCAGAGTTGAGATCACAGCAGAAATGCTCCTAGGACTTGGCCTGCATGACACGTCTGTTTTTCGCTTTTGCCTTTGAAACTGGCAATGATGGGGAGAGGTCGGTCAGGAGGCAGGTGAGGGGCCTGAACCATGACTCCCTGAAAATAAGCCTCTCTTGTCTGCAGCAAAGCCCTAGAGCAGGTAATTAAATTCTCTCCCAAATTCCCTAGAAACCAATTTCCCTTTCCGTGTCCCTGTCACTCACTCGTGCACCTCCCTCGGGACCAGCGGGTGAACACGCCTGGGTCAGCATCTGAACCACAGAAAGATACGGGATGGATGCAGTGTCTCTGCGGATTCAGGACCAACGTTTCCTAGGATTCTGCTAAGGTTGGTTTGATTTGACCTGGACTGGACCCACGTGACCCAGACTCTGAGTGTCTACCCAGAGCCATGTGTCCGAGAGCAGATGTCTGATGAGGCGGGTCCTCAGTCCTCACTGCTGCCTTCCAGCTTCCTGATGAGCTGCTGGTAGGTGTCTCTTTCCACCTGCCACGAATGATACATTCTCACGTACGCCTTTCCATTCGTTACAATTTCCTTTTCCAATGCAGGGTCACTAACCAGTCTCTTTGCCAGATGAACAAACTCCTGCAAAAAAGGAAGGAGACATAGACGTAAATAACTGAAGAAGGGAGATTTTGCAAATGCACCCAAGAGCCTGTGTCTGCATCAGTGGCTGATCTTGCCTTTGTCTGCCTCCGGGGCCTGGAAAAGGTGACTTTTTGGAGGGATGGGAGTTAATGCAAACATTGAGACCGAGTAGGAAATAATATATATGCTCACACACACAGGTGCACACACATGTACACACACACAGGTGCACACACACGTACACACAGGTGCACACACGTACACACATGTGCACACACACGTACACACACAGGTGCGCGCACACACACATATGCTGGGATGAACACCATGAAAGATACTGGAGCCACCAACTCCTTTTCCCGAGATCAACAATCCCAGCTCTATTCCTAGAAACGCTCAGATCCACCATTTATTCCCTCTCACAAGCCGAGCCTGAGATGTGAACTTAGACCTTACCCCAGGGTCTGCGCCCCACAGCCCCACATGATATCACCCTGGCCCCGCTGGTTTTCCTCTGTTGGTTCTGTCGCCTTCCCGGGGTGCACCCCACAGTCCCACATGATATCACCCCGGCCCCGCTGGTTTTCCTGTGTTGGTTCTGTCGCCTTCCCGGGGTGCACCCCACAGCCCCACATGATATCATCTCGGCCCCGCTGGTTTTCCTGTGTTGGTTCTGTCGCCTTCCTGGGGTGCACCCCACAGCCCCACATGATATCATCTCGGCCCCGCTGGTTTTCCTGTGTTGGTTCTGTCGCCTTCCCGGGGTGCGCCCCACAGCCCCACATGATATCACCCTGGCCCCGCTGGTTTTCCTCTGTTGGTTCTGTCGCCTTCCTGGGGTGCGCCCCACAGCCCCACCTGATATCACCCCGGCCCCGCTGGTTTTCCTGTGTTGGTTCTGTCGCCTTCCCGGGGTGCACCCCACAGCCCCACATGATATCATCTCGGCCCCGCTGGTTTTCCTGTGTTGGTTCTGTCGCCTTCCTGGGGTGCACCCCACAGCCCCACATGATATCACCCCGGCCCCGCTGGTTTTCCTGTGTTGGTTCTGTCGCCTTCCCGGGGTGCACCCCACAGCCCCACATGATATCACCCCGGCCCCGCTGGTTTTCCTGTGTTGGTTCTGTCGCCTTCCCGGGGTGCACCCCACAGCCCCACATGATATCACCCCGGCCCCGCTGGTTTTCCTCTGTTGGTTCTGTCGCCTTCCCGGGGTGCACCCCACAGTCCCACATGATATCACCCCGGCCCCGCTGGTTTTCCTGTGTTGGTTCTGTCACCTTCCCGGGGTGCACCCCACAGCCCCACATATCACCCTGGCCTGGTTGCTTTTCCTGTGATGGTTCTTTCACCTTCCCGGGGTGCACCCCACAGTCCCACATGATATCACCCCGGCCCCGCTGGTTTTCCTCTGTTGGTTCTGTCGTCTTCCCGGGGTGCACCCCACAGTCCCACATGATATCACCCCGGCCCCGCTGGTTTTCCTCTGTTGGTTCTGTCGCCTTCCCGGGGTGCACCCCACAGTCCCACATGATATCACCCCGGCCTGGCTGGTTTTCCTCTGTTGGTTCTGTCGCCTTCCCGGGGTGCACCCCACAGCCCCACATGATATCACCCCGGCCCCGCTGGTTTTCCTCTGTTGGTTCTGTCGCCTTCCCGGGGTGCACCCCACAGTCCCACATGATATCACCCCGGCCCCGCTGGTTTTCCTGTGATGGGTCTGTCACCTTCCCGGGGTGCACCCCACAGCCCCACATGATATCATCTCGGCCCCGCTGGTTTTCCTGTGTTGGTTCTGTCGCCTTCCCGGGGTGCACCCCACAGCCCCACATGATATCACCCCGGCCCCGCTGGTTTTCCTCTGTTGGTTCTGTCGCCTTCCCGGGGTGCACCCCACAGTCCCACATGATATCACCCCGGCCTGGCTGGTTTTCCTGTGATGGGTCTGTCGTCTTCCCGGGGTGCACCCCACAGCCCCACATGATATCATCCCGGCCCCGCTGGTTTTCCTGTGTTGGTTCTGTCGCCTTCCCGGGGTGCACCCCACAGCCCCACATGATATCACCCCGGCCCCGCTGGTTTTCCTGTGATGGGTCTGTCGCCTTCCCGGGGTGCACCCCACAGCCCCACATGATATCACCCCGGCCCCGCTGGTTTTCCTGTGATGGGTCTGTCGCCTTCCCGGGGTGCGCCCCACAGCCCCACATGATATCACCCCGGCCCCGCTGGTTTTCCTGTGTTGGTTCTGTCGCCTTCCCGGGGTGCGCCCCACAGCCCCACATGATATCACCCCGGCCCCGCTGGTTTTCCTGTGTTGGTTCTGTCGCCTTCCCGGGGTGCGCCCCACAGCCCCACATGATATCACCCCGGCCCCGCTGGTTTTCCTGTGTTGGTTCTGTCGCCTTCCCGGGGTGCACCCCACAGCCCCACATGATATCACCCCGGCCCCGCTGGTTTTCCTGTGTTGGTTCTGTCGCCTTCCCGGGGTGCACCCCACAGCCCCACATGATATCACCCTGGCCCCGCTGGTTTTCCTGTGTTGGTTCTGTCGCCTTCCCGGGGTGCACCCCACAGCCCCACATATCACCCCGGCCCCGCTGGTTTTCCTCTGTTGGTTCTGTCGCCTTCCCGGGGTGCACCCCACAGCCCCACATATCACCCCGGCCTGGCTGGTTTTCCTGTGTTGGTTCTGTCGCCTTCCCGGGGTGCACCCCACAGCCCCACATGATATCACCCCGGCCCCGCTGGTTTTCCTGTGATGGGTCTGTCGTCTTCCCGGGGTGCGCCCCACAGCCCCACATATCACCCCGGCCCCGCTGGTTTTCCTGTGTTGGTTCTGTCGCCTTCCCGGGGTGCACCCCACAGCCCCACATGATATCACCCCGGCCCCGCTGGTTTTCCTGTGATGGGTCTGTCGTCTTCCCGGGGTGCGCCCCACAGCCCCACATGATATCACCCCGGCCCCGCTGGTTTTCCTGTGATGGGTCTGTCGCCTTCCCGGGGTGCAGAGCCAAGCCTGTCTTCACAATATGGACGGCGTGGTGTCGGGGGCAGTGGAAAGCACTAGCACTTCAGAGTCAGAGCTGGGTTCACATTCTTCCCAACAACCTAACTCAGCTGCGTGGCCTTGGGCGAGCTAGTGACCTCTCGGAGCCCCTTTCCCATCTGCAGAGGAGTGATGGCCAGCCCCGCCCCACGACCCAGGGGCTCCCGGCATGAAGCAGGCGAGGAGGGGTTGAAAAGCCCTTTGCTTCGCAGGCCGTGCCTTCTGCAGCTCAGCTTCCGGCTGTGTTTCTGGTTATGCTCATTACTGATGAAGGCCCGCAGACCCTTGGCCCGGCAATGAAAGAATGCTCTTGCTGACCTGGTTTAAATAGCAAAGCCCTTCAGAACTGGGAAAAAAACTGGAAGTATTTTGCCTGTTAAAGGGTATTGAGGGAAAGGGGGGGACCAGTCATTATTCTTTACGCTTGCCTGTAAGTCCACAGCACAGCTCCCGATCCAGGAGGCTGGGTTTACATTCACACCCTACCCTTCACCTGCCTGGTGGGGGAGGAGGGGGTGCCTCAGTTCCTCAGCTGTCAGTCAGGGGTGATCACAGTCCACAGCACAGCTCCCGATCCAGGAGGCTGGGTTTACATTCACACCCTACCCTTCACGTGCCTGGTGGGGGGGGGGGTGCCTCAGTTCCTCAGCTGTCAGTCAGGGGTGATCACAGTCCACAGCACAGCTCCCGATCCAGGAGGCTGGGTTTACATTCACACCCTACCCTTCACGTGCCTGGTGGCGGGGCGGGGGTGCCTCAGTTCCTCAGCTGTCAGTCAGGGGTGATCACAGTCCACAGCACAGCTCCCGATCCAGGAGGTGTGGGTTTACATTCACACCCTACCCTTCACCTGCCTGGTGGCGGGGGAGGGGGTGCCTCAGTTCCTCAGCTGTCAGTCATGGGTGATCACAAACCTCCTTCCTTGGGTGTTGAGAGGACGGCAGATGGGTTACCGCAAACAAAGAATTCTGAGCAAAGCCCCGTACATACTTAACCATCATCGCCAGGGTTACTCCCCAACAGCCCACATAAATTCCAAGAAGGGAGCAACGCTTACGATTAACATACAAGGCTTTTGCTTTTTCAAAGGAACATAAACATATTCGCAAAATTATTGTTAATTAAATGCTGAATGCCTTTTATAGCTAGCAATATAAATAGTAATATTTGTGGTACAGTAGAATTATATTTTTATAGATTATGTTTATGCCTTGTAGTAAATTGGTGCTTGTTTTATAATAAAAATGTAAGATATTTATTCCTGCTTCAGAGCAGAACAATGCTCTTATTAAAATTATTTGAGACGCTTATAGCTGGGTATATTATTTTATGATGCTGGTCATGTCTTTGATTTATCTGATGTGGAGACTGGTGGAAACCCACCCCCCGCCCCGCTCTGCCTGTTATTCCTACAGAATTCATGGCCCCTTTACAACAAAATCCTAAAGGGCAGGGTTTCTAGGATTAGGTCGTGATAAAACAGTCTTCGTTTCTCTCTGCATGGAAGACTGAACAAAAAACATAGACTGAAATAAAGCAACAGGTGGGTGACAGGTAAACAACATCTCGGCTTAATAAAACCCTGGATGAGTGGCAGAGCGGAAGCAAGGAGAATCATCAGAAAAAGAAAAAAATCTCTCCTGAGCCGTAAGTCACTCCCTGAGCCTCTGGGATTCTCTTCTTCTGCACTAAAAGCTTCTCTGTCTGCGTCGGTAATCTGCTGGCCACACGCCTGTGGACGTGAGAAATGCATGTGGACACAGACTCTGTGGTTTGCTTACCAGGGCAGATGGTTTGCAAAGGCGGCCACACCCTCTATCCCCTTGTGCACGTCTCTGCAATATGACACTGCCACTCTCCCCACTGAGCGGGTGTGGTCTATTCCCCACCCCGCCCCAGTGAATCTGACTTGGTTGAGTAATTTGCTTTTTTTTTTTTTTTTTGAGACACAGTCTTATTTTGTCACCAGGTGCCAGGCTGGAGTGCAGTGGCACAATTTCGGCTCACTGCAACCTCCGCCTCCTGGATTCAAGCAGTTCTCCTGCCTCAGACTCCTGAGTAGCTGGGACTACAGGCACACACCACCACACCCAGCTAATTTTTGTATTTTTAGTAGAGACGGGGTTTCACCATGTTGGCCAGGATGGTCTCGATCTCTTGACCTCATGATCCACGCACCTCAGCTTTTGACTGGCAGAATACATGAGAAGTGATGCAGTCTGCCTTCCACGCAAAGCTTTGAAAGCTCTTATGCTTCTGAAGTTTCCATGACCCCGGGTCCTGTTGCAGCCCTGGAGGCCACCATGTAAGGCAATGCCTGGGCTAGCCTCCTGAGGGAAGAGAGGCCATGTGAACAGAGGCACTGAGCCATGGCCAGCACCATGAGTGATACCGTCTCGGGCCACCCAGCCACAGGCCAGCTGCCAGAAGACCATTACTGGACAAATGGCCCCAGGCCCAGCAGAAGCACCGCCCCAGGAGCCCAGCTCAAACTGCGGACTCGGGAAATTGCAAACAGATAAAATGGTGGTAGTTGTACCGACTTGGGGATCTTAGCTACACAACAATATATAACTGACTCTCTCCCCAGGCATTCAGCTCCTCCTCTTCACCAAGAGAGCTGTGAAGTTTTGAAACTCTACCCCTTTGCAACTCGATCTGGGAAGGAGACCCTGCCTCCACTTCCGAAAGTCGGTCCTGATTTGTCCTAGCCAATTGTGCTGTGACTGGCACACCCTGGGCTGACTCGTCACCCTGCCCGTGACATGAGTGTGGGTGGACTTGCCTGCAACCAACAGAATATGGCAAAGGACCGGGGATGTGGCTCCCTCGACAGCGTGATTTACGGGGGCCGTCATCTCAGCAGAGCGGAGCAGGGGAGACTCCATGTTGCCGCAGGGCGAGAAACCACGAACCGTCCCAACTTACGATGGTGTGACTTCAGATGTCTCAGTCTGAGAGCAGAAACTGCACGTCAGGCACCCACACCACCATTCTGTGTTTTGCTCTCAGGACAGCAGTGGACCAATCATATGAGATCTGCAAAGCCACGCTGTAAAAACAGGCTGTGCTGGATGGCTTTGCCCAACTGTAGGTTAGAGGAAGTGATCCGAGCACGCTGCGGTAGGCTGGGCTAAGCCATGATGCTCCAGGGGTGGCTGTATGGAATGCATGGTTTTCTTTTTTTAATGGAGTCTGTCACTCAGGCTGGAGTGCAGTGGCACAGTCTTGGCTCACTGCAACCTTTGTCTCCTGAGTTCAAGTGATTCTCCTGACTCAGCGTCCTGAGTAGCTGCGATTGCAGGCGCCCACCACCACGCCCCGCTAATTTTTGTATTTTTAGTAGAGACAGGGTTTCACCATGTTGGTCAGGCTGGTTTTGAACTCCTGACCTCATGATCCGCCCACTTCGGCCTCCCCAAGTGCTGGGATTACAGGTGTAAGCCACTGCACTTGGCCTTTTAAAATTTTTTAGTGATGGGGTCTTCCTCCGTCACCCAGGCTGGAGTGCAGTGGTACGATCACAGCTCACTGCAGCCTCAACCTGCTGGGCTAAAGAGATCCTCCTGCTTCAGCCTCCCAAGTAGCTGGGAATATAGGCACATGCCACTGCATCTGGCTAATTTTCTTATTTTTTCTAGGGACAGGGTTTCACTGTGTTGCCCAGGCTGTTAAGTGCCGTTTCAACTTCCAGTGGGTTTATTGAGATGTAACCCCATCACACATCAAGGGGCACCTGTCCTGGCAGCTTCTAAGAGCTGAGGAGGGGGGGCCCCGGGCCAACAACCAGTGAGAGAGCAATGGCCTTCGACCCACCGTCACAAGAAACTGAACCCACCACCAACTGTGCTCTAGATAAGAATGTGGCCCAGACACCTGGATGGAGTGCAGCCTGGTGAGACTGGGCCCAAGCCGAGGATCCAGAGCCTAGACCCACAGAAACTGAGACGGCACACAAGTGTGGCTTCAGGCTGCTGAGCTTGTGATTTGTTTCACACAATAGAAAACCAACACTGTTAACCTCTCCTCCCTGCCAGTGCTTGACCCAAGTCTGGCCACTGAGATTGGCAGAGGCGTTTGAACCAGAGCAGCTCCCTCTTGAATAGGAGCTGGGTAAAATGAGGCTGAGACCTGCTGGGCTGCAATTCCAGGAGGTGAAGCTTTCTAAGTCACAGGATGACACAGGAGGTTGGCACAAGACACAGGTCATGAAGACCTTGCTGATAAAAGAATGCAGTAAAGAAGCCACTAAAGCCCACCAAAACCACGATGGCGACAAGAGTGTCCTCTGGCGGTCCTCACTGCCACACTCCCACCAGTGCCGTGACAGTTTGCGAATGCCATGGCGGTGTCAGGAAGTTGCTCTATACGGTCTAAAAAGAGGAGGCAGGAACAATCCACCCTTGTTTAGCACATCATCAAGAAATAACCATAAATATGGACAACCAGCTGCCCTTGGGGCTCCTCTGTCTACAGAGCAGCCATTCTTTTACTCCTTCACTTCCTTAATAACCTTGCTTTCACTTTACGGACTCGCCTGAGTTTCCTTGCTCGAGATCCAAGAATCCTCTCTTGGGGTCCGGATTGGGACTGCTCTCCCGTAACAAGATGGGAGGGAGAGTCAGTCGGTGTCTTCTGAAAAAGATAGTTCCCTCCTTCTAAGAAGAGAACACGGGAAACAGCAGCTCCCTCCAGCCTCTGAGGCCACCCGGGTGGCACGGGGAGCCCTGACTCACTGCACGGATTCCCCCCACCTTAGGAGACGATGCCGTCTACAGGAAGGCAGGGCCGGGCACTCACACAGAGGTGGCAAGTTGTGCCAGGCCTGACATGCCATGCCAGACATCAGCCATGACACCTGACACCTCATCAAATGCACGGGAGAGCTACACAGCAGGAAGTATACCCCTGAGTGCCCCTGAGACGGGTCCCTCCAGCCCAGGCACTACAGGTTCAACTCCAGTTTCCATCAGGAGCTGCGGGAATGCCAACTGGCTGACAGCCACACACGCTTTGTACCTCTGGAGGAGGGGCTGCCACTCAGGATCTTACGCTCGGCTACACCATGATCTACTCTTGAAAATGATTTATGAAAATAACTCACAGGCCAGGCACGGAGGCTCACACCTGTAAACCCAGCACTTTGGGAGGCCAAGGGGGGGGGGGCAGATCACCTGAGGTCAGTAGTTCGAGACCAGCCTGGCCGACATGGTTAAACCCTGTGTCTACTAAAAATACAAAAAAATTAGCTGGTCATGGTGGCGGTTGCCTGTCATCCCAGCTACTCGGGAGGCTGATACAGGAGAATCTCTTGAACCTGGGGGCGGGAGGTTGCAGTGAGCTGAGATCGCGCCATTCGTTGCAGTCCAGCCTGGGCAACAGCAGCTAAACTGTCTCAAAACGAAGGAAAGGGAAAAAGAACTCATGAGGCATTACAGAGAACAGACGCTAAAAACTCAAAGCCAAGCCAAGTACAGAAGTTCCAGCTCTCAGGAGAGTGCAAAAGCAACCCTCACGCCTGGGTTCCTGATCAGTGGTGGGAAACGCAGACGCCTTTGGGGCCCAGCAGGCGAAGTGGGAGGAGCGCGCCCGCCACAGGGTAAATACAGGCCTGTGAAGGTTGCCACATTTCTTTTCTTTTTCTTTTTCCAAGAGAGGTCTGAATTCTGGATATTTATGTAAAACTGTTCCATGATAAATAGCAACAAGTAATTCAGTATTTTAAGAATACAGCAAACTCAACAAAACGCATGTGCAGACCAGACCTAGGTCCAGGGCCACAGGTGTGCCAGCGCCGGCTCAGGTGATGCATTATGATGTTAAGTAAAAAGTCACACAAACAAGCAGGGTTTGACGTTTATAGAGTAATTACGTAACTAGTAGACGGCCGTCCTCAGTGCTTCTTCCCGTCTGAGCAGCTGGAGCTGCTGGTGGAACATTTCTCACTGAATCCTTCTGACCTGCTCCATCTCCCTTAGGTTTCACCAAGATCCAGAGGAAGAGAATTGGTGCCCGTTTTGTCTTTTTACTTTTTTGAGATGGAGTCTGTCTCTGTCACCCAGGCTGCAGTGTGTGGCACAAGCTCCGCCTCCTGGGTTCAAGTGATTCTCCTGCCTCAGCCTCCCAAGTAGCTGGGATTACAGGCTTGCGCCCCACACCCAACTAATTTTTGTACTTTTAGTAGAGACAGGGTTATCGCATGTTGGCCAGGCTGGTCTTGGACTCCTGGCCTCAAGTGATCCGCCTGGTTTGGCCTCCCCAAGTGCTGGGATTACAGGTGTGAGCCACTGAACCTGGCCAGTAGCTGTTTTATAAAATGAATATTAGAACCCCATCACAATCCTTCTGGTGATGATGTTATCTCAAAGCCACAGAACAAAAGGGAAAAGAACTCCTCCCCGAGAAGCAAAAGCCTTGAGCAGGGCACACGTGGGGCCTGGCAGATTTAAAATGTTATGGTTTTAAAGAGCGTTACATTCTGACAACCTTCAGCAAGAGAAGCTATAGTCAATCATAGGAAAACTCCGAGTCTCAGGCCTGGGGTGCTAAATTAAACAGCCCCGAAGCTGCTCTCCCGCTGCTTCTTGATGGGAGATGTTCACGAGGAAGTTTCTCAAGACGGGCACAGGCTGCTGTCGCTAAAGACTGCCGGTTTTCCTTGGGCCTTTCGGGTTGGAACCTTTCAGTTAATTAAGGCTTCGTCGGAGGTTTTGCTTCTCAAACCTGGCTGTAAGAATCTCTAACGGAGCTGGTTAAACACACATGCACCACACACAGGCCCTCAGCCCCCAAGATGCTGACCGGGTGGGTGGAGGGTGGGGTCCCAGAATGTGCGTTTTCTAAACACTTCTTTCTTCAAGGAAAGAGAGAGCCGGCCTCTGACCAAGAGCCTCCAGTGGAGGTTGGGATCCAGCCAGAAATTAGCAACAGCAGCCAACATGCATCCAGTGCTCAACCACGTACACAGAATGAGGTTTCAGAATTCAGTGCCCATCAGTGCCCAGGTGATGGTGGGAAGCCTGACAGGTCTAAGGCAGCCTGCTGCACCTGTCTCATCTTCCAAAAACGATTTGGTCATAGAACAGATTTATTTTGTTGAGAACTGCAAGTTGTGAGGCTCCTCCTTCAAGACCTCAGTGCCTAGGAGAGGGACATGCATCTGACAGTTACTTTTCTGGTACACGACACCATCCCCGTGCTCACATTTTATGGCACTGTCCAAGCTGTCGCCACTGACAACCACGGACACATCCACATCACCACGCCATCACCCAGATTGACAGTACGCGGCTGCTTCTCCCAATGACGCAGAGCTAGGACCACACAAAAGACCAGGAAGCTCTTCTCTAAACTCCTCGGCAGGAACCTTCCATCCGCCTCTTAAAACAGAGTAGTCGTCAATTTATAGGAGAACTGATGTTCATTCAACCTCAACATCATGGTGCCAGTTAGGGGCTCACTTGAAAACAACTATCAAAAACAGCCATCGGGGGCCGGGTGCTGTGGCTCACACCTGCAATCTCAGCACTTTGGGAGGCTGAGGTGGATTGCTTGCAGTCAGGAGTTCAAGACCAGCCTGACCAACATGGCGAAACCCTATCTCTACCAAAAAAACACAAAAATTAGCCTGCTGTGGTGGCAGGTGCCTGTAGTCCCAGCTACTCCAGAGGCTGAGGCAGGAGAATTGCTTGAACCCGGGAGTTGGAGGTTGCCGTGAGCTGAGACAGCACCACTGCACTCCAGCCTGAGTGACAGAGCGAGACCCTGTCTCAAACACAAAAACAAAACAACAGCTATGGGGATCTGCAGATGGAGGCTGAGCAAGCCAACTGGGCAGGGTCAGAAATAACCCCTCACTCAGCGAGCCCTGTGCACAGCTACTGCTCTATGCAGAGCCAGAGGGCAAGGTGGTGGAGTAGGGAATCTGGCCCCCACTCCAGTTACGATGCTTGAGTCTGATGTCCATTCCAACACTAACCCCCAGTGAATCTGGCAGTGGGCCCTGTGCACGCATGCTGAGCCAGGGAAGCTCCACGCTCAGGCCACCTCAGACGTGGTGGGTGCTTTGGAGTGACGGAGCATGGGAATCTGTAGCACGTGGAAGGAGGTTTGCAGGTGCAGCTGCAAGGCAGGTGCAGGTGGGGACACTAAACAAAGGAGCGCCACCAGGTGAGAAAGCGAATCCCTATCCAATTCACCTGCCCTCCTGGCTGAGGGGAGGATGGCCTCAGTGAGGGGCAAACGCTTCTTTCTTCAACACTTCTTTAGGAAAGAGAGAGCCGGCCTCTGGCCAAGAGCCTCCAGTGGAGGTCGGGATCCAGTCAGAAATTAACAACAGCAGCCAACATGCGTCCAGTGCTCAACCACATACACAGAATGAGGTTTCAGAATTCAGGACCGGACTGATTTTAATAATTCGGCTGCTACAGCCGAATTATTATTATGTTTTTGAGATGGAGTCTCCTCTGTTGCCCAGGTTGGAGTGCAGTGGTGCGATCTCAGCTCACTGCAATGTCCGCCTCCCAGGCTCAAGCAATTCTCCTGCCTCAGCCTCCTGAGTAGCTGGGACAAGAGGCACATGCTACCACACCTGGCTAACTTTTGTATTTTTAGTAGAGACGGGGTTTCACCATGTTGGTCAGGCTGGTCTCGAACTCCTGAACTCGTGATCCACCCACCTCAGCCTCCCTAAGTGCTGGGATTACAGGCGTGAATCACCGTGCCCAGACAAGCTTTTATTATATATCATCTCCAGCGAGGTCTAAGGCTGTGCCTGCTGACAACGCATCAGTGTTTCTTATGAAAATGTATGAACAGTCCCGTGAGGCAGGACAAAGCCTCAGGTAACATCACATCAGTTCAGGTAGGATTTTGGCACCAAACTCACTAAAAAGAGTGGTCCTGTGGATGGTGAGACAGCAAAGCTCCTCTTTGCCTTCTGGCATTTGCACACCAGGGGCTGACTGTGCGGGTAGAGTCAGGGAGGTGGAGAGGGAGGGAGGGAGGGAGAGAGGGAGGGGGGAAGGGAGGGAGGGAGGGAGGGAGAGAGGGAGGGGGAAGGGAGGGAGGGAGGGAAAGAGGGAGGGGGGAAGGGAGGGAGGGAGGGAAAGAGGGAGGGGGGAAGGGAGGGAGGGAGGGAGAGAGGGAAGGGGAAGGGAGGGAGAGAGGGAGGGGGGAAGGGAGGGAGGGAGAGGGGGGGAAGGGAGGGAGGGAGGGAAGGAGGGAGGGGGGAAGGGAGGGAGAGAGGGAGGGGGGAAGGGAGGGAGGAAGGGGGGGAAGGGAGGGAGGGAGGGAAGGAGGGAGGGGGGAAGGGAGGGAGAGAGGGAGGGGGGAAGGGAGGGAGGAAGGGGGGGAAGGGAGGGAGGGAGGGAAGGAGGGAGGGGGAAGGGAGGGGGAAAGGGAGGGAGGGAGCGAGGGAAGGAGGGAGGGAGGGAGAGGGGGAGAAGGGAGGGAGAAAGAGAAAGGGAGGGAAAGAGAAAAGGAGGGGGGAAGGGAGGGAGATAGGAAGGGAGGGAGGGAGGAAGGAAGGAAGGGAGGTAGGGAGGGAGGGAGAGAGAAAGAAAGGGATGGAAGGAGAGAGGGAGGGAGGAGGAGGGGAAGAAGGAAGTCAGGAGGGAGAAGAAATAGAAGAAAATGGGAGCAAAGGACAGATGAAGATAATGAGGGAAGAAGAAAGGAGGGAGATGAAGGGAGGAAGGAAGGAAAAAGGGAGGGAGAGAGGAAGGGAGAGCAAAAGAAAGACAATTTCTGAGCCAACGGCATTTACACGGGATCTAGGCACCCAGGCAGGAGAAGGCGATCCTGTTGTTTTGCGTGGGACTCTGCACCAGAACTTGTGATTGGCATGAAACTGTCAGAGACGCCATACTAGGCATGGAGACAAAATCTGACAGGTGCCAATGATGGGGTGGGACGACTGCTGTCATCTTCGACTTTGAAAAGAAAAAAGAAAAGACAGCAGTTGGAGTACAACTGTGAGGGGTGCTGCATCACTAGCAGATGAAAATAAAACCTGACCTTCGCGAGGGCTGCCCCTGTACACGGGGGCATAGTCATTCCTTCCAGTATTCACTGAGCACCAGCCCCTGCCCAGCCGGCTCAGGGTCCGTGTGAGGGAGTGCTGATGAGGAAACAGGCCTGGCTGCTGCCCTCAGGGGCTTCCAGGCTGGGGCTGGTGTGTAGAGATGGGGAAGAGTGCTGTGCATGCAGACACAGGTGCAGGGACAGAGGATACCCACGTGGGGACCCCAGTGAGACGAGGTGACCAAGAAAAGTCCTGAGGTGATTTCAACTAAGGAACAATTGAGGAGGTGCCAGATGTGGGCGCAGCTCAGTTAGAGACCGGGGTGAGCAGAGCTCAGGTGCTGAACAGAGAAGCCTGGAACGAGGAGGTGGGCTGTGTGGGCCTCGCGGTGCTGCAGAAGCCAGCCAGGAGTTGCATTTCTCTCTAGGTGCAGTGGGGAAGTCAGCAGAGGGTCCTCAGCTGCAGTGGGTGGAGTGGACTTCTGCCTGGTGCCTGTGGCTGCAGGGAGGGAGTGGGTGGGCCAGAAGGAGGAGGCTGGCACAGCCCAGGGAAGACCCCACAGCGCCTCAGCCAGAAGTGCGGTGGAGATGGGGTCCAGCTGAGTCTGGAGACAGAGCTCAGGAGAAGTGGGACAGACAGGAAGCAGGGCTCGGAGAAGGGGGCATGGCGGGTTTGGAATCCCAGGATGGTGTGCCCAGCCGCTTGTGCATGTACCTGCAACAGGCCCGCTGAGGCTCCAGGCAGGCCTTCCCCTGCGGCGTCACCTCCAAGGCTGCAGCCCACAGGCGTCCTCCAAGGGCACTGGCACAGCTTCTACCACTGCCAGCAAGTCACCATCCTTCTTCCTCTGAATTCCAGGATACCCCAGAAACAGCCTTTGGAGCAGATTCCCACAGCAGCATTGCTGGGGTGCGAGGCAAGCAAGCAACTGACTGGGAACTGCATGTGTCAGTGCGGACACAGGTCGCTGGGAGGCACCAGGAAGTGCACGTGGGCAGAGGCAGGGGGAGCAGAGGGTCTCTCCATGCCTGGCCCCTCCCCTGAGATCAGTCCCCCACTGGAGCCCTTGGGCTCACACTCCTGGCAGGTGCCCAGCAGGCTTTGCACAGCAACAGGTGCCCCCGCGCGAGGGCCCAGGAGATGGCAGACAGCAAGTGTCAGGATGATGCAGAGATGGCTCCTCCTGTCCTCAGAGGTGGGGACTCACAGGGGGAAGGAAGCTCTTCTCTCTCTGCCTCTTCCCTCTCTGTATTTTAAGAGAATTCCTTAAAATACGCAATGCAAGCAGGATGCTCCCTACTTGGTCAGGAGCGTGGTGGCCAGGAGACCCGAGTGCCTCCGCTCTGCACCACACCTTGGTGACGGCCCAGCCTCCCTTGCCCGAGACGTGAGCCCCACCTTGTGGCTCACCCGCGTCCCAGCCCTGGCTCACTGCGCCGCAGCTCCGAGCACACCCAGCTCAGTGCACGCCCAGCTCAGCACACACCTAGCTCAGTGCACACCCAGCTCAGCACACACCCAGCTCACTGCACCCCCAGCTCAGCACACACCCAGCTCAGTGCACACCCAGTTCAGCACACACCCAGCTCACTGCACCCCCAGCTCAGCACACACCCAGCTCAGTGCACGTCCAGCTCAGCACACACCCAGCTCAGTGCACGCCCAGCTCAGCACACACCCAGCTCACTGAACCCCCAGCTCAGCACACACCCAGTTCAGTACACACCCAGCTCAGTGCACGCTCAGCTCAGTGCACGCCCAGCTCAGCACACACCCAGCTCACTGCACCCCCAGCTCAGCACACACCCAGCTCAGCACACGCCCAGCTCAGTGAACACCCAGCTCAGCCCAGGCCCAGCTCAGTGCGCATCTGCTGTCGGGGCTGCGCAGTCAGCCAGGGCCTTCCTTTCCTGCCTCATGCTGCATCCTGGGGAATCTACACCCAGGGTGGGCCTCGAAATGATTCCTTTCCCCAAGAACAGACATAGAATCAGGGTGAGAAGAACCACTTTAGAAAATGGTTAGGTGGAAAACAGGACGTGGAAAGGGAGGGAGACAGGGAGAGAGAGAGACAGAGAGAGGAAGAGAGTTAGAGACTGAGTCAGAGAGAGAAACA